GGGCTGTAGGGCATGTGTGTCCCCAGGAGGTCAGGCTGCATGTGTGTGTGTGTCCCCAGGAGTCAGGGCTGTGGGCATGTGTGTGTCCCCAGGAGGTCAGGGCTGTAGAGCATGTGTGTCCCCCAGGTCAGGGCTGTGAGAGCATGTGTGTCCCCAGGGAGGTCGGGGCTGTAGAGCATGTGTGTGTCCCCAGGAGGTCAGGGCTGTAGAGCATGTGTGTGTCCCCAGGAGGTCAGGCTGTAGAGCATGTGTGTCCCCCAGGAGGTCAGGGCTGTAGAGCTGTATGTGTGTCCCCCAGGAGGTCAGGGCTGTAGAGCATGTTTGTGTCCCCAGGAGGTCAGGGCCTGTAGAGCATGTGTGTGTCCCCAGGAGGTCAGGGCTGTAGAGCATGTGTGTCCCCAGGAGGTCAGGGCTGTAGAGCATGTGTGTGTGTCCCCAGGAGGTCAGGGCTGTAGAGCATGTGTGTGTCCCCAGGAGGTCAGGGCTGTAGAGCATGTGTGTGCCCCCATTGGGTATGACTTTCTTGGGGTGGTATCCCATCCCCTGAGCAACGCTCTTGTGCGTTATGCAGAAGACCCGACAACCGTGCCCTTATCCACTACCTCCTAAGATGTCCCCACCACAGCTTCTGTGATCTCTGCTGGACCACCACTCCGACCCCTAGCGGAACACGCGATGATCCTCCCCTACTGGCAGATACTACTGTAAATACAGTGAACCCCGCTTTACGCGGTTTCACTTCTACGTTTCTACATTCGCGGTATCCTGCCAGAACCAGTTTGCACTACTGTGGTGCATCTACTCATATACGGGTGAAGTATAATTTTTTATTTAGCTCATAAAATTCATAAAAATTACCGGCCAGAATATAATTAACATTGCTGGAATTCTTACAATTTGATGATCATTTTGAATATAAGCATCATAGATTTTGCATTAGACATACAAATTTTAGATCTAATGCAAGTATTTTGTTTACTCTGAGTAAATATGTTATCTTTTGTGCAAAATATATGACATTTATATTCAAAATTTTCCTGGTCTTACAGGGAATCCAGCAACGTCAGTATTTTCAACAATGTTTTTATGTGCTTTGAGAATTTGCAGCCCGGAATTCCTCGAATTCATTGATGAGGAATATAATTATATCTATAATATTGGCTCAAACCTTAAATACCCTAGGATTTCATAGACAAATGCGTGAAAATTTTTAAGAAATCTTTTTATAGAACTGATCCCAAGCCCACCCATGACCATAAGAATCTCTTAGTATTACTATTTAACGTAAATTTCAAATTCTTCACAACTAAAAATTGAATGTCAATGTGGCATTTAAAAGTTCACACTGTTAAAAACAAAATGTTAATCAAGAACTCCCCAACAATACAAATGGCTGCATTTATAAAGTCCCTTGGTAAGGAATGTTATATGTTTTACTTAGGCCAAAATGTAAAGATTCAGAATTAGACTTAAACAACAGATAAATATAGTGTTAGACAGGACCAGAATCCAATGCTCTGTTTGTTCATTTCAGGATAATAAACATTGCATTGATTCGGGATAATGCTTCTTCTCAATATTAATACCTTTGTAATTCAATTGACAGTAGAACATTATAGACCCTAGTCTCATTAAACATACTGAATCCGTTAACATGAATTTGAGTAATGGTATGTACAAATTGGACAATTTTGTAATTAAGAAGATTTGTAACCAGGTGGAGAAGGTTGGGTCAGTTTTTCCCTCTGACCTGACCAAATGACCCTTTTGCGGTGCTTTTTGTGAAGATTAGTAGGGTCATAACCATTCTGAAACCGAAAAGCCTGAACCAAATTCCTCTGGCCCCAAGGATTGGATAAGGGATTGTCAACCTGTAATTTCCTGAAAATTTTTGTACTAGGGGAAGTGTCGTGATGTCCTGGTGGTTGTAAGCTCCAGTAGTTGTATTTATTTTCCTCACCCCCTCCGTAATTTTCTTCGCCAGCATCATGAGGCATGGTTCAAAATCATCGACAACACTGTTATCAGTAAGTGAAATCACTGTGATAAACGAGAACTGTGTTACCAAGCCACGAGAAAATGGTGGCAAATGTAGGTCAAAGTTACATCGCACAGTTGGTCTCACATTAGGCGTTAATGTAACCTGGAGTGGTCCCGCCGAAAAGTGAACAACAAGCAACATATGGGATTAATTGAAATGGAGTCCAGGCCCATCCCCAAACTCCACTCTTTTTGACTCACACAACAACTATGTTGTAGTAAAAATTTATCTTAACTCTTACAGATGGTATGAAAACAAGTAATATAGAAGAGGTTAGTTAGAAAGATAAAGGTTAACTGTAGGAAAATAAAGAATAGGTTAAAAATCCAAAATTTGGTGTAACTTACAGTAGTAGGAAGAGATGGTCGGGTACACGGGATGGAGGCTGGTTCGGCAGAGGGCAGAGATTATTGGCTCCTCAGGTGAATCAATTACTAGGTGAATCACCATCACTGTTACAGTTGTCAGGGCTTCCCCGACAAATCAAAGTCAACTTCACTGTCACTATCACTGGCTTGGGCTGGCTGTAGGTTGCGTGAAGAAATTGTTATGCTTTTGCTGACTGCCGATGATGTTGCTGCGGATACCTGATGCACGGCTCCAGCAGCCTGCACCAGCCGTTGCGGAAGACTTCATAATGTCATCGCCATTGTCATGGAAAGGAAGGGATTTCATCTTCGCACACCCATGGCAATTCCTTAATATCACTGACTTAAATTGTGTTCTTCGGAGATCAGACTTCCACCTTCTTCCTCCTCTTCACTGGACGTTCTTCCATCATCTCGCGGCAGTCACTTCAGGGATTCTGATCACCCAGGATGTCGTCGTCAGCAGGTCTCTGGAGAAGCCTGAACTGTAACAAGTCTGCGAGTTTTCTGGCAAGGTCCACTGCTACTGCAACATTCTGAACTCTCATCAGTCACAGATTGACTCTCCTCTCACCTGGTATTCATATGCAACACACGTTCCATGCGTGACGAGAATTGTAGCAATAGACAGCGATCCCATGGACTCACCAAGATGTCCACAGCTTTCTTGATGTTAAATATTCCAGAATTGTTTGAAGAGTATTTTTGCTGTTCTAACCGCGGTTCCTCATCTTTTGTCGCTTCTTGCTATCGGTGGTGTCACTCAGGTCACTTAACTCTCCTTGGTGTTGCGTAGTCGCTCAGAGCTGGAATTTTTTGTTGAGAATTGTAGCCACATTGCAAATCAACTCCCGGTCCATATATGGGCTGTAATATAGACGTAGTGTTGGGAGAAGGAAGACCACTTTTTATGTTGGGGTGACGGATCAACAGTAGGGCGAGTGTCCTGGTGCGCTATCCAGCAGCAACAAAATTATTAAATGGGACATTCTTGTTGCTCAGCAGAATTCCCCTTACATCGAACAAACAGTCATCAAACCAGAGAGAGGGACAGTGTAGAGGAACATCCATGCCTTTACGCAGCGTCAGCCAGTGGACATTTAGCTGGTCATGTCCATGGTTTTGTAGGCGCGGCCATGTGCTGTGTGTGTGGATCACCGATAACTTGAGCTTACAGGTACCGAGGCATTGGTGGCAAACAGGACGGTGATGCTCCTTCTGCATTTTCCGGCCCCAATCCTGCTGGCATTCTTCACAATGGTAATTTGAAGGTAGTTTTCTCCAGAAAGACCAGATTCGTCCATGTTAACACCTGGTCGTCACTGTACTGTCCTTCCTCCATAATCTCAATGCAAAACGGTGAGGAAATTCCTCGAGCCGCAGCACGATCAGCACTGCTTCTTCACCACCAATGTTTATATTGGTGATTCGAAACCCGATCTTAAACCTCTGTAACCAATTCAGAGGAAGCAGTAGCGGGTCGGCCTTTGTAATTCTAATTTTCAGCGCCAATGCTTATGTACAGTTCACGGTAAAGTGTAGTCCTTCACAGAGCGCGTGTCGACCGTCATGTCTGTCGCGTCGACGCACCGCTGGGTAATTACAAGTAATTTTTCTGTCTTGAGAAGCTAATCGGTTGTGAAATACTTGATCAGCAGAAGCACCTGCAGATTTTGTGGATTTCATGTGCTTTTTTGATCTTGGCTGTATCCTTTCTGATCGTGCGAATCGCAGATTCGATCGCCATGCTGGCGCGCGAGACTTGCCGTGTCTTTTCTCCAAATCTTAACAATTTGGTACTTCACCTGTAGCTTATGAACGTCGTGTCCTCTTTGGCTTAGTGCCGCTGGGTCCAGGTAAGGGAAAGGTTTTTTCTGGGTGGTGAACCGCGGAAGCCATTTACGTGAACAATGATGCGCCGCTAACACGAGTGGCCTGGAGGATGAGACTGTCGCGGGTTGTGGTCAAGCGTCGCCTTCTTCCTCCCTCCCCTCCCTGCCCGGTGGACACGTCATATTACTTTTCACCTCCCACAGCTAGCAGCAGAGGAGGGTAGGGATGCATGGCCAATCACAGGTCTTGTATCGCCATATGACGCCAGTGATAACGAACAAAGACACATCAGGTAACTCATCAGCGCGGCTTGCCCAAGCGTAGAGGGAGGAGGAGGAGGAGGCAGTGTGGTATGGCAGGCGGGTGGCGCGGGGAAAATTTGTAATAGCGCCGCGCCGACACTTCGTAATGGCGCCGCGCATCGCGAATGTGAAATGTTAGGTTCTGCGCACCGCGTAACGGTGAAAACGCGAACGCGGACCGCTTAATGTGAGGACCAACTGTACATGACAGAATGCTTGATGTTATTTAAAATATTATTTGTGACATTTTTTGATAAATTTTTATCACAGAATATTGTGTGAGGAAGGATTTCCAATAGTCAGAGGCACAGTATCATCCTATCCAATACATTTAGCATCTGAAGTTATCGCCATTTTTATTCCAGTGGACCATGGGGTCTACTAGATACTACTTGTTTGGTGACTTTACATCATTTTTATTGATTCACAATACTGTAACTATGTATATTTTTCCAGCGACGAGCAATGCGTCTACAGCAACAACAGCAGCAGAAGGCCCTTAATCAAGAGCAACAAAGGGCTCATCTGGCTGAAAGGGAAAAGCATCTCATTGCTCGTCCAGTCTGGGCCTCACAGCAAGATGACCAATGATGAGGACTGAAAACATATTTTAGAAAATGCAAGAATTACTGTTAGGATGCAGACATGGGATACACTCTACTGTACTAATAGTACAAACAATAGTTAGAAGAAAATCTACTTTAATAAATTAGAAATGCTTTTAGGGCCTATAGAAATAATGACCTTTGGTAGTCCTATGATATGAGGGCCAAAAATAGACTATCACTTCATTTACTACTGGAATAACTATATATGGTTCCTTTTACCGTAAAACCAAGTACTGTACAGGGATATCTCGCTATATCCGGACCTAAGGTAAAAGAAAGGATAGATTGGCAAGGGTGATTGTAGAAAATGGTGGCTTGTTACATTGCCTTGTGAATTTACCTTGTTTACGGTGACCAGGCTTAATATTATTTGTAGAACCAATAATTACAAATGCACTTTAATATTAATTCTACTTTGCTGTAATCACTCAGTAAGGCTGGCTGGATGAAGAGAGAACTCAACTGCAGCTGTCCTTTCAAACTCTTTTATACAAGAGGTGATGCCACAACATGATTAAAATGATTGACAACGAAAATGCTTGCCTTCAACTTAGATACGCGATATTTTAAATACCTATAATACATCCGCCATTCCCTAGACATCCAATATATATTTTCATATACTGTATATGACAGATTGTAGACCATAACCAGCCTATCGTAATGATTGCTGTAATATACAGGGTATCTAGCAATAATAATTATGGTATGCTCTACATTGCCTTACTACAGTAAGTCCCCCTAAGTTGAACTTTATGGGGCTCAAGGTAGTCCAACTTATGTAGGACCCCCTCTGGTAAATTCAACCACCATTTTGCTGAAAAATCACATCTAAAAGTATAATTAAATTTAACATTACTTATTTCTAGTGTACTTACATTATAGCTTATGAATTTGTAGATTATATTTATCTGTACAGTTACACTTAAGACTAGCATTTATTTTTTGGTTTAATCACTGTTGGAATCGAGGATGCGAGGTGGCAGATCGGGGGTTACCACTAATTCTGACTGAAGTGTATGGCGAGTGATGGCAGACCCTAGTCTGATTAATGGTGGTTTCCATCCTATGGAAGCTTGACTTAGGGAGTCTTATACAATAATGTGTTAGTTGTTTCGCTGATACTGATTTTTTCCAAAAATTAAAGAAAAAATAATGCGACAGTAATGAACTACTTTGGGTAAACTTGGAACACTAAACAACCCCCAAATTCCTCTGCCATGTCCCATCCCCAGTGCTCGTTTATGCATCACCGCTACCTTTGCCTGATCTTATCTGTTTTAGAGTGGGTAAAACTTTATCAAAACCCTGTAAAATGAATGGAAAATGCCCAGCAAATGATATTTGTGCCTTTGATAAGAAACAAACAAGGAAAAGTATTAATCTAGAAATTAAGTTAGATGTGTTAAGGAGTTTTGAAGCTGGTGAACAAGCTGTTGACATCACCAGAATGCTTGGCCTACCCACTATCTTCAGTGAGTGTGATCTAAACAGAGAATGCAGCTCTACAATTAACAAGTTAATAACCAATAACATTAGCTGCTACAATGAGCTGTACAAACAGAAGAAGAAGAAGAAAGCTGTCCAGGTTTTTTCCTTAATATTTTAACCCCCTCTGCACCAGGCTATGGTAGGCATACACACCTCTACCATACAGGTATGTGGGGGGTTCTAAATTTACAAAGTGGTCATGCATGATATACACAGTGAAGAAATACATGTACTTGCCACAGGTTGGCAACATAGAGGCTTGGAAGGTTCAAGTAACTGACAACGGATCTGCTGATGGTCAAGATCTCTACTGCTGCTTGGGTAAAAACATGTGAGGTGCCACTGAGAAGGGAGGCATGTGTGATCGAGCCAAAGATAATGGCCTACTTGGCAACAAGAACTAACCAGGCCCATGTGGTATTAATATTGAAACAGTTTATTTAGCCCCCCAAAAGTACATAAAGAGTGAACAATATTAATACTATGACATGGCTGAGCCAATTGAGAGCTTGAGCTCTCTTAGAGTACCACAAAATAATATCTGTCATATGATGGGAACAGAAAACTGGGATTAAATATCCATCCTTAAATGAAGAAGCAGGCAATCCTGCAACTTTGTCTCCAAAATCCCCCACTCCCTATTACGGTTGGTGTATATAAAGGTATGCAGTTTCCTTAACCAACTGGTAAATGTTGTACAGTACTTTTAGGAATCTCTCCATTAGCCAGAATCTTTGATCCCCAGAACTCTCTGATAACCAGGAAAAAAATTATGAGCATTCCTGGAAAAATTTCTCGATCCTGGTCATGGGAACGAATTTCCAAGACTTGCATCTATGTGCATTTCTAGAAAATAATGAGAAAAACAGGAGAAATTGCATCATATTTCCGATGCGGTAATGCGTGGGTGATTAGGCTCAGAGTGCTTGTGAACTAGGATTGGCCACTAATGTAATGTGATTACATGGGATGCCTATGATTGGCTGATGTATCTTGTAGCCTATCTCCTCAAACTCTAACATCATGACACTCTTAGTTCATAATCTGCTGCCATTGAACAAGCTTATTCACTTGCTCGCTGATGTTTTTGTATACAATCTGTGTTGTACAGTACTGTATATTACTGTACCAGCACATAATCAGCTAAGAAGTACCATTAAAGCAGTGTTAAGACATAAAAAGCTAGTAAAGTTACTGATTGTATACTGTACTGTACCTTCAGTAAGTGTGAGAGTACCATGTGTACAGTACTGTACATAGCAGAGTGGACAGTGTATGCTAGTGTTTGAAGGGTGTATGTACAGTATACAGTGCATGTATAATCCCTCCTTCATGGAGGGAGAAGAGAGTGACTGACTGTTAATAACACCTGCTTCAGGAGATGGTTACAGGATAAAGGCAGGTCAACCTGTATCATCATATCCCCATTTGGCCTGTCTGCATTACAAGTTTAAGACATCAGCATCTGCTGGTGAGTACAGTATAGTGTATACCAGCGTCCCCAACCTGGAGTTCAGGCACTATGGCACCCACAAAACCATATTTGGAGCCTGCAGGGGTTTATTAGAAAATTTTGAAATATTTGGGATCTTTTGTCGGTGAAAAATAATTAAAATATGTACTAACTTGATATGACTTTATAGTTTGCCAAGACAGAGAGAGGAGAGCAACTGAACTGGAGATGAAAATAGTTACTGTACTTTGCATACTGACTTTCAATTGAAAAGCAAAGCAGAGCACCCAGAATTTTGGACATTAGTGGATTCAGGGAAATTTGCACTTTTGAAGATTTATCAAAGACTAAGTTGTGCTTTGGTACTACTCACATGTGAATTGGGCTTTTCAACAATGAAGGTTTTAAAATTCAAGTACAGTATAGTATAGGTCACGTCTAACTGACAGTTACCTGAATGACTGCTTGAGAATGGCAGCTACAAATTACACCCCTGAGATTTCCAAGCGAGTAGAAGAAATGCAGAGGCAGCCATTTTGTCCAAGTCTGAAGCAAAATCTGATGGCACAATGTTGGTCAATACTGCCCTCCATGTTGAGGGTTGAGTGGCAATTGACTCAACTTAGCAGATGAGCCCGCATAAAAATCACACAAAGCTGCAATGCGGCTGTTGGCGCTACCGATTCCTTCCAAATCGCCGTAGTAAACAACTTATACCCAAGGTGAGTAACTGCCGATGATTTATTTATACAGTACAGAATATCTGAAAAGAAAAACATTTTATGAAGCCAGTCATCTTCAGGGGTGAGTACAGACTAAGGAGAAGTACATAACAAGGTACAGTATATATATACAGACGAAGATGAGATCAAGTCCACAATGGTCAGGTATTAGGTAATGACCCTACTAATCTTCAAAAAGCACCGCAGTAGTTGGTAGTCAGGTCAGAGGGTAAGATGACCTAACCTCACCTGGTTACAAGGTCGCCCAGTCATCAAAACATTCCTGAGTTCTTCACCTGCCACCCACCACAGCCGGCCCAAGTCAGTGATAGTGAGGATATGGACATAAGGACTTTGAGGGGTTTGACAAAGAGGCCCTGCAGGCCTCTGTGGTGGATAGTGATACAGGTGAGGGCCAATAATCTGCCCTCTGCCTCGGAACCAACCTCCCCCATCCCCTGTGCCCAGCCATCTTTTCTACTAATGTAAGTGTTAAAAACCTAATATTATTGATATTTCTCTTAATTATTAATTGTGTGTGCATACCATCATAAAATTAAGAAGTTATTTTTACTACAACCTAGGTATTGTGTCTGAAAAGTGGGGTTTGGGGGCCAATTCAGTCTATTTCAATTAATCCCTTATGTTCTGTTGTTCACTTTACGCGTTTCCCGCTTTATGCGTTATTTGGCGCCATTCATTTTTAGATATACTGTACCTGTATCTCATTTATAAGACATTGTTTATCTAAGCCAAGAGTTGTACGTCTTACATATTTCACCTCCCTGTCAGAAAATGTAACGGCGCGATGTACTTTATCTAAGACGAGCAGTGTTGAGCATTTTGTTGCAAGACTATGGATGATAGATAAGATCTGTACATATCATATTAAGTCTTCAACACAAGATATTTATTGTTAACTCAAAATTAAATATCTTGTGAATAAAACTTTTCAATTTGGTCTTGTCTCATGTCATGCCTTTATACAGGTGTGTTACCAAAGTCGAGAAAAAAGATTGTCTCCGGCCAGCTTTTTTTTTTTATTATGTCCCGTAATATCCCCGCCGAGAGCCTCCGTCGTTTACTTTTAATGTACAGTAACCCTCACTTTACGCTGTTAAACCCGCAAGGTCCCGCAGAGTGAATAACATATCATATGGGATTAATTGAAATAGAGTCGGGCCGACCCCAAACTCCACTTTTGACTACACAACTATGTTGTAGTAAAAATTTTATCTTAACTTTTATGCGATGGTATGAAAACAAATAATATAGAAGACGTTAGGTTAGAAAAATAAAGGTTAACATAGGAAAAATAAAGGTTAGGTTAGGGAAACTAAAGTTATGTGGAACACTTACGTTAGGTGCAGAAGAGATGGGTCGGGCGATGGGGATGGAGGCTGGTTCCGAGGCAGAGGGCAGGTTACTGGCCCTCAGGTGAATCACCATTAGGGCAAGTGCATCATCATCACTGTCATTTACAGCTGTCAGGGCTTCCCTGACAAACTCTCAAAGTCATCTTCACTGTCATCATCACTGGCTTGGGCTGGCTGTGGTGGGTTGCGGGTGAAGAAATCTGTTATGCTTTGCTGACGGCTGGTGTTGATGTTATTGTGATACACCTTGATGTAGGGCTCCATAGTCTGCAACAGCTGGGTAGTGAAGATTTCATACCTGTTTGCGCCAGGGTCGTCGGAAAGGAGGAGCTTGGCTTTCGATACACTCGATGTTCCCTAACATTACTATGGATAAGTAGTGTTCTTTTGGGATGACGACCACCTGCATCTTCACTGACGCCGTCATCATCATCTGCCATCTGCCGGGTAGTCACAGCAGGTTCCATTATCACTTCCAGGATGTCGTCGCTGGTGGTCTCCGGAGAAGCCTGAACTGTAACGGTTCGCGCAGCTTTCGGCAAGGTCCATCAAGTTACTGCAACAGTCTGAACCTCACTAGTCATAGATTGACTCCTCCTCTCACCTGGTATTCCATGCAACACATGTCTCCATGCGTGACGAATTGTAGCAATAGACAGCTGGATCCCATGACTCCACCAAGAAGTACACAGCTTTTTGATGTTAAATACTCTCCAGAATTGTTTAGCTGCATGCTGTGCCAACTGTTGATCCTCATCTTCTTCGCTTCATATCGGTGGTGGTGCTCACTCAGGTTGGCATTTAACCTCCTGGTGTTGGTGTAGTCGTTCAGGAGTGTGGAACTTTTTCGTAGAGAATGCAGCTTTTACATTACAGATTAACCTTGGTCCATGGGCTGTAATATTAGACGAGTGTTGGGAGGCAAGGGGAAGACCACTTTTATGTTGGGGTGGACGCATCTAACAGTAGCGTAGTGTCCTGCGCGTTGTCCAGCAGCAACAAAAATCTTGAATGGCACATTCTGCCGCCACAGAATTTCTTTTTTACATCGGGAACAAAACAGTCATCAAACCAGAGGGACAGCGAGAACATCCACGCTTACGCGGCGGTCAGCCAGTGACATAGCTTGGTCATGTCTATGGTTTTGTAGGCGGCGGGTTATGCGTTGTGTGGATCACCGACAACTTGAGCTTACAGGTACTGGAGGCATTGGTGGTAAACAGACGGTGATGTGCGCTTCCTTCTGCATCTTCCGCCCCAATCTTGCTGGCATTCTTACAACAAAGCGATCGGAAGGTAGCTTTTTCCAGAAAGACCAGGTTCGGCCCATGTTAAACACCTGGTCATCACTGTACTGTTCTTCCTCCATAATTCAATGAAAAACGGAGGAAATTCCCTAGTTGCAGCACGTCAGCACCGCTATTCACCACCAATGTTTATATTATGATCTTGTTCCGATCTTAAACCTCTGTAACCACCAGAGGAAGCATTAGCGGTTTGGGCTCTGTAATTCTATCTTCGTGCTTTCACTGCAATGTACAGTTCACGTATGTAGTCCTTAACAGAGCCAGGTCGACCATGTTCCGCCTTACCATTTAATCAAGCAATTTCACAAGTAATTTTTCTGTCTTGAGAAGCACCTTGGTTGTGAAAAATATTTGATCATAGAAGCACCTGCAGATTTGTGGATTCTATATGTGCTCCTTTATCTTGGTTGCATCCTTTCTTATTGTTCAATCAGAGATTCATTTCACACCATGCTGGCGCGCTTAAATCAAGCTGCCTTGTTCCTTTTTCCAACTCTGGATGATGATATACTTCACCGTAGTTTGGCGAACGCCGTGTCTTTGGCTGAAAGCGGGGTCCAGGTATGAAAGGTTTCTGGGGCGGTGAACTGGGCGGAAATATTTTAGTGAACAACGGATGCATCGCTTACACGGTCTGGCGTGGGAGGGATGAAACTGGCGCTGCTAGGTCATCAAGACAAATTTTTCTCCCTCCTCCTTTCCCCGGTGGACACGGGGCCATAATACTTTAAGCCACCATAGCTAGCAGCAGAGGGGTAGGGATGCATGGCCAATCACAGTCCGACACGCTATATGACGTCGGTGATAACGCTATCAAAGAGACACACTGCGCAACCTTACCGCCATGCTTGCCTAAGCCGGAGGGAGGAGGAGGAGGGAGAGGCGAGAGCACAGGCAGGCAGGCGGGTATGACCCAAAATAAAGGCCGGGCTACCGACACACTGCTGTGAATGGGGTTCACGCATCGCGAATGAGCACGCGCAGTTCTGGCAGGGCACCGCTAACGTGAAAAACGCTGAATGTGGGGCACGGAAAGTGAGGGTTGATCAGATACGGAGACCGAAATCACAAATTTACGGTTTACGACGAGACGCGAACGTGCAACGTCACGGAAGAAATATTGGCCGAACATTTATGGTAAATAATTTATTTCTTCACCTACAAAGCACTTGGAGATGGTTTATTACTGCCACACGATCAGAGTTTCGTTGTTTTACCCCGTAATTTCCTTCATGTTTCGTGCCCTGCCCGCTATGGGTGATTTATGATCGTAGATAGAGAAAAAAAAATCTTAAAATTAAAGAAAAAGTTGTATCATTTTTATTACGATCATCCAAACATTTGTGGATAAAATGAATGAAATAGAAAAACTGCTTCTGGTGTTAAACCACGGCTTTGAGACTGTCTCGGCGACCGACGTCGAGCCCACGTGTTTCCGAGGGGCCGTCTCCACCTTTCAGTCACTCACCTGTGGTGTCCCCGAAGATACTACTACTACTACTACTAATGTTTGGAAAGGCAGTTGTCAAAATACCATCCGGAAAGGGTTGTCACTGACTTGTCAGATTCAGAAGAGAAAATGTCTTTAAATTGCAAAAACTCATCTAGAACAGATGCTTCCAGGTCACTGGAATAGGTACTGACAGCCAATGGTGTCATACTCCGTTAAGCTAAAGCGCTTCTTTATTTCTGTGCTCTAATTCATTCGTAATATGGTGTAGAAATTGTCCACCTTGGATCAAGTTGAGTTTCAGTGCCAACTGATTCATCCA